TTATTGGTTAGAATGCAGGATAAATTGATTAATCAGACTAACGTTGTCAAGTATTTGAGTTTGTTCATAGACAGTAATTTGTCCTGGACAGGCCAAATTGACTACGTAATAAACAAAATGGCTATACATACTTTTGTTATTTGGCGCACTGCGGTTGAGTGTGGATCTTCAGCTTCTACTATTGTATTATTTGGGATATGTTAAATCTTGCTTATCTTATGCTATTATATGCTGGGAAAACTCCTCCAGTGCTAGTAAAGTTTTTTTCCAACAAAAACGTATTGTTCGAACAATGCTGGGGAAGTCTCGTGGTCACTCTTGTAGAACCCTGTTCCCAAAATTAAATATTTTAACGTTTCCCGCTCTCTTCATATTAAATAGCATAATTTACATAAAAAGTAATCTATCTAATTATCGCAGGACCGGAATTGATGGAGATTACAATTTTAGAGTCAATCTTAATTTACAAGTGCCAAGTCATAAGTTAGCCAAAGTAGCTAAGAGCCATATGATTTTACCAATAAAACTATATAAGTTGTCTTTGTCCGTCAGACAGATATTGCCTCTCCATTTATTTAAGCAAAAATAAACATTATTATTATCATTATTATTAACACAACTGAGCCATAAAATACACAGCATTTTAAACACTGCTATCTATTTAAACTACCCTGCTTTGATCTTAGAACTTAAAACAGTCTTGTTTGAAAGTAAATAGTCGGAAAACGTGAACAAAAGTTTATATATTCTAAGTAAACAACTGCGGCTACGAAATTTTAAAAATTTGAAAAAGTGGAAAGAAAATATATTGAGTTAATTTTCTTTATTGTAGTGTTCGAATAAATGAAATTTGGTATTAAGTAAGTGCCTTAAAAAAATTTTGAACAATGCCGATTAAACATTATTTTTACAAACATAGAGTGTGTCCAAGATAAGGGGATATTGTAAACCGTAAGAGATACTGTTGAGAAAACTAATAAATTGATATGAGAAAAAAATGAAATTTGACGGTGTTTTTTTTTCTGGTGTTGTTTAAGCAAATAAAAAAAAATAAAGTTCGCTTTCTCGTTGCCATATTTTAAGTTCTACGAGATAGTGTCGAGAGATTTTAAGTACGACGTTTCGTTTAGGCGAAATCATCGTCGACTTTATGGGCTGTGAAAAAATTACGCCATATATTAAAAGGCATTTTTTATTAGGAGTACAAGGATGTACGACGTAATATGATTCTACATTGTTTAAATCACAAAAAAATAAACACTAAACAAATTACTTAAAAAGAACTAACTTATAAAGAATGTACAGGTGACCATAATTATCCAAACAGATATAACTGTCGAATTTATTATTTTTTTAACATATCAGGTGTAATGTTTTGAAAGGCTTCAAGAACTAGTCTTCTCAGTTAACCCTCAGTCTCAAAACGTCGCTGGTAAATATAATTTTGGCCCGGCGAAGGAGCTAAAGGATTTCCATATTGGTGAAAGGTAAAAAACCTGAGTCGCGGTTAAAATTCTTTGGTTGCCTATAGATTTCTGTGGAATCTCGGAATTTTCTTTGGTTACATGCAAGAATTTCAGTTTTATCGAATAAGATTTGATGTAACGGCTTTTTATGTTTTTTGAGCCTAATTTTTTTATCCTGTCTCGCCAATGTATTCTTTGCAGCATATATATGGAATACGTCACAAAGGTGTTTCCGGACTCATTGTATCTGGAAGGTTGTGGTGAATTCTATTTTGTGATGGAACTCTTAATATCTCTAACGTGAACATTATTAGAGAGTTCATAACCGATTATTTTTGGACCAGATGGTGATGTGAAGATGCATTAAGGTAGCAATGTTAGGTCTGATTTTAAATTGATAAGAATATCTATTCAATAGTGAAAAGTAGGCCAAATAACAAAATTATCATCATCATAGCATTTCCATAATTTTGGCTTTGGATGGAAGGTGTCAAAGGCTTTCTTTCTGATAATGGGGAAGCCATAGCTGATCCCAATGGTTGTTAATAAATTTGACCGTTATACGAAAAATATGTACTAGACAAGCATTTTTCAGGAAGCATTTGAGAGTTTCAGGAATATTATTCGCTGTCTCTTGATTGCAGGGGTTGTAGGTAGTCTTCCAAACATTTTTGTACTCGGTTGTAGCACATTGACCTTGGTATAGTGACCTTTATTTCTTATATCTCTTTAAATACCGCCAGATTTTTTTTTTTTGAGTTTTCTCAACAGCATATTTAAATTTTGCAACTTTTTATCCCCATGATAAGCATCCTTATCTTGGACAGACTGTATACAAGTTTAATACCAATTATCATTGATTTTCCAATGTTAAACTCAGTAGCCCAATAAATCAGTTCGATGCGGGTGAAAATGGGTACAGATTTGAAAAACTACGCGGAGGTGGGATAAGCTCGACTTTTTTTCTACCGAAGATTACGTGAAAATGAACAGTGAAATGAAAAAGGCCGGTTTCCTGCCAAAAAAAAATCCCAAATTACCCCGCATATAGGTTAATTTAGTTGCTGCGACGTCGAGAAGGTTCGTGGCGTAAGCGAAGGGACGGGGTGGGGGATAAATTATGTCCCACAAATTATCTAACAGCGGCATTCTGTCCCGGTTTGGATAAAACTGAAAAAGTTTTATCCACTTACTTAGAGTCACTCCGAACTTTGTCGTAAAGTTTATTTTATCATCTTTTATCCACTATCTTTAAAACGCTTAATAAAACTTCGGTTATTGGAAAAATATTTCGAGAACTTTGCGACGATAGACTAAAATTGCGAAAAAAAGAAATGGAGGGGCCAGGAGACGTTGAATTATAGCAAACTTAATATCGGCTTGGCGGATTAAACTAATTAGCGCGGCTGACGTGCTGATTAATTTAATAAGAAGCGAATCGTATGGAATAAAAAGATTCATAAGTACGGAATGCGGGGTCAAAAGCACAAGGAAAATACCGAGGTTACATACGGAACAGTATCTTCGATCGCATATCAAATAAATAAACGGTTTCTCGTGTTCCACTCGAACTACCGGATCACCAAAACGCAAACCGATACCGTTCTAAAACGTAACATTTTAAAATTCTTTCGTATAAATTATTCATCGACTACCGAAGCTGAAACTAAATAAACGGCTGGACACTCGAAACGGATAAGCAAAAATTGTGAATTGTTTCCCAAGATCCACAAATGCAAAACTAAAAAGAGATGCTCGTTTTATCCGCTATCGCTGTGTTTTTGTTTGAAGAATTTTAGAAGAAAAATACATTTTTTTTTTCGACGAAACTTCCATAGGCTTTTTTAATACTATTTACAAAATTTCTTCATTGTGTTTGCCACTGCTGTCCTTCCTTAGATTCAAAACATCACTGATCACATATCAAAACTTCTAAAGAAATATAACGTCAACACCAGATTTACTACTTGTCCAAAAATCTTTCAACATCTTCGATCCGTCAAAGACAAAATTCCATTTGAGACGCCAGGAGTGTACAGCATTCCACGCATATGAGGCAAAAAATACATTGGAGAGACCGGACGAAAAATATCAACTAGGCTCAAAGAACATGAAAGAAAATTAAGACGAAGACGAATATACTTATCAGCTGTTGCCGAACATAAAACTAAAACTCTTGCATGTAATAAGTTCTTCTACCTACGAAAAATCCGAGAGTCAATAGAAATCTATAAGCAACATAACACTCTTAACCGCGACTCGGATCTTTACCCGTGAGCAATATGGGAATCAGCCATCCGAGACGATGTTTATGTACCTCTGTAGCTCCGCCCAACAATATATAAGCAGGTAAAGAGTAAAATGCGAGCCAGTTTCAGTCAAGCTCTGAAGAAGCCAACAGGATGATTGGCGAAACGTCAGCAAGTTCGACTCAGCAAAAACAGACGCAGGAGAAATCCAGAAATTTTGTTTTTACCCTGTAGAAGTTTCTTTGAAAAATGAGAGATTCCCTATTGTCATAAGCCGCCATAAATTTACTAACATTTAATACAAGCATCTCATATTAAGGATATTTTCTGAACATAGCAATGATGTGTGGCATGCCCTAAGTTATCAAAGATTCCACGAATGTCCTATATAAAATTACCAGCAATACATAAAATTTATGTATAAGCCCTCTAATATTATACTGTCTCGAATGTATATTGATGAAAAGCAGAACAAGAGAAAATTAAAAATGATCAATTGGCAATTAGAGGAGGTTTTACATATGTGATAATGAAACTTTAACTTGATAGGAGAAATCTAGATGATTGCTTTGCATTTGTGGAAATATAGAAAACAAATAGGAACTAGAACATATTACTATTTTTAGTTTTTTTTTATGTGCATATATTAACATTTTACTAGCTTTAAAATAAGTGTATGTTTCCATCGGTGTTTACTTATGTTTAATTTAATAATTTTTAATATTTAAATTTGAATAATGTTTTATATCGCCATTCGCTCAAACAAAACACGAATAAAAGTAGTATAAACACATTATTACATTTATTTAAAATCTTATAAATACAATTTATATTAAATTCACGTTTATCTATAAAAAATAAGCCAAATAAAAGTTTACAATCGTTCTCTAGCAATGAGTCAAGAACGCAACTGTGTACTGGTAGTGTGCTAAATGGGTAACATAACCATATTTCTGTAAAATGTAATACATATTATATAATTTAAATTCTATAGTTTTGATTTACTCAATTGTAGCAGTGCATGTTATTCAAACAATATAATGGTATAATAACATATTTAATGTACCAATTCTAGAATTCAATTTACATTTCCTATGAAAAATAACCATAACGATGTGTGTAATTTTACAATTTCTTGTCAGGGTACTGGAAGTAGAGGTATATATTGTTGATTGTTTGCTATGACAAATATTTACTGACTTTCAAAAATAAATTAAAAGTGTTGAATTCCCTTAATAACACAATCCAAAATACCACCGTGTTAAAATCGTATGCATCGACTTACCGATAGATTTGGTGACAAATGTTCAAGTATACTGGACTTGTGAGACGAGCAGCTAGCTCTGCAGACCTGAAAGTCCTCGTGACATTTTATGGACTAAGCTGAAAAAAAAAATCCATCATTAGGGAATAAAAAGAAATGGAACACGTTGCGTATAAGACAGAGAAAATTGAACATTTCTTTAGAAAATAAAGAACACTTTAATCAAAAATTGAACTGAGGTGAGGGAAGACAGTCATAGCTATCGATCTCCCATTTGAAAAACCAACAATTTATCAAGTTATATCAAAGACAAGTCAAGGCAGTAATTGCTAACTCCACACTATTTAGTGACAAAGACAAATATTTTTAACAATTATGAACCCACAACCGCCGAAATTATATTCTTTAGTTAAATTACTTAAACAAGTTATGCCCATTAGACCTGTCGTGTCTTATGCAACAGCTCCAGCAGTTAAACTTTCAACAAAATTATTAAATATTTTAAAATACCACACAGATTGTAAACCAAAATTTGCAATAAAAAATTCTTTTGAATTAATCAACAAAATTAAAGATATCAAAATCCCTTCTAACGCAGCACTATTGTCTTTTGATGTACAAAACTTATTTCCCATTATTCCACCTATGGATGTGATAGATTTAGTAGATTTCACCCTAACTCGGAAACAGGTTAACCCATTGGTGAAACAAGATTTATTAGATTGCTTAATAGTATCTTTAGACCAAAATTATTTTGAATTTATTGGACATTAGTCCTTTGTTAGTCGAGATTTTTATGGATAATTTGGAAAACATACTAGAACATCCTTCAAGTAAAAGTTTTCTATGGTGGTATAGATACGTGTATGATGTCTTTGCTTGCTTTGTTGGAACGGACAAACAATTGAATTCTTTTTTAAATTACATTAACTCATTACATAATCGTATTAAAATTCACTATCGAGATTGAACAGGATAAATCTTTTAATTTTTTAGACAACAAAGAACTTAATATCATTAAACAAATTGCACTGAAGAACGGCTACAATCCGTCCACTATAGATAAAATTATAAATAAAAAACAAATCCAGACAACAATAAACTCTATTTATCTGAAACCTAATACAGAATACGAACAATTTAAAACAATTACATACATAGGAGAACCTAGTGAAAAAGTTTCAAAACATTTGTCAAAATGTGGTTTAAAAAAAGCTTTCAGAACTAACAACACAATAGGAAAATTTTTAAAAAACAATAAAACGAAATGTCCAAAATCTCAAAAATCAGGTATCTACAGGTTAAAATGCGGATCTTGTCCTAAAATTTATATCGGACAAACAGGTAGATCCTTCAAGAAACGCATTAACGAACATAAAAGAGCGTTTAAAAACAATAGTCTAGATTCTAATTATGCTACACACTTAAACACAGAAAAAAACATTTTTGACGACAATTTTGATATTTTACATATAGCCGCAAAAAGTAGAAAATTAAATTTATTCGAAGCAATGGAGATTAACAAAATGAGACATTTGTTTTATTATCATTTTTCGGTATATATAGTAGAAGGCAGTTTGTAAATATTACATTTGATAAAGACACGGTGTTGTCGAAACAATTATCATGTGAATATATAAAATTTCGTGAAAATCTGAACTTTGTTATTATTTATTTTTTTACATTTTAATCAAATTATGTTAGTCTATATAGTTCAAAACAGAAGTTTAAAATGGAAATATTAACTTTGTAATTGTAATTGTAATTAGAAGTTTATTTTTTACTACATAAATGATTTGAAGGCCATATATCTATCTATAAGGATTAAACATGAGTAGAAATCATAACTAAAACCGAGAATGCAATGAAGCCATAATACCTTGGTTTGATAATAATCTTTCAGGTTTTAATTATAATATTTAAATGAACACAAAAGGTACCTTGGCTCTAACTGCTGAAATACAGTGGACCAGTTAATGTGCCAATCACAGCTTTAGTGTGAATGTTAATTATTCGGCAGTTTATGACAATAAGGATGGTAAAAACTGCATACTTTGCTCTGGCACAGTCAGTAATTGGTTACAGTCTAACTACATAAGGTGCAGCCTTATAAGACTATCTTAGAACCCCTAATTGTAACACAGAAATACATTTTGAAGATTATATTTAATAAAAATAAAAAACAATACTTGAAGAAGCAACAATTGATAACACATGATAAAGTTACATGATAAATAATAATAATAATAATAATAATTATTATTATTATTATTATTATTATTATTATTATTATTATTATTATTATTATTATTATTATAATCATAATCATAATAATAATAATAATAATAAATAAAATACTAACAAATAAAAATATTAATAAATAAAATATAGACAAATAAAAATAAATAAATAATAATTGTCAAATTGGTTAAATGATAATGGGATTTGCATCTCATGGTAACTTAAATCCGTTAAATCAAATTTTAAAATTGTTGAGGAAAAATTATTAATCAAATAATTTTGGTTTTTTCTCTTAAGTCTTTATTATTTAATCCAAATAAATAAATATTGAAAACATTGAAAAACCGTTCCTAAAAAAAATGAAAGCAGCCGGAACCATGTTATTTGTAATAGTCTGCAAAGTAAAGCACCCGTAGATAATTTGTTACTTAAGTGACAATCATTTCTTTCGCTTTTTCTGTGCGGATGGGAACTATGAGACGATCAATCAGTTAAAACGGAACGCGGTTTTGGCTAACCCGCAGGGAATTTTCCTACACGTAAGGGAAATTGCTAAGAAAAATGATGGCGCGGGCTCCCCGTGAATTAAGTATAGCTAAATGATTTCATTTAGCCTCGCGTAGAACCGTCGAGAAATTTATTAAACAAATTATTTTTTCATCTAGAGTCCCCGTTAAAAAGGATATTTGTGAAATGTCAAGTTATACTGACGTGAACGCCCTAACGGATGAGAAAAAACGACTTCGCTTAATAAAAATGAAAAATATTGTACAAAGGCCCCGTAGACAGTTTAAGTAATAGTGCTACATGCATTTTTATTATTTTAAATTTAATATAATTCCGTTCCCAATTTGAAAGTCCTCTACCTCTCGCTATCTCAATTCTTTTATTTATTGGCAGTAAAAAATAATATGGTAATAAAAAAAATGCAGAAAATATCCCACTATCTTGAACCAAATTTTCACAATATTATTACAGCCAATTTGCAGTTAATTTATATTTATTTATATTACTGATATTTATTATATTTTTGCATATTTTTTATTTTTGTAAATTTTAATTTGTTTATTATTTAAAATGCTTTAATTTAAGTTATTTGAAGATTGACGTCTAACGTGTAACATTTGGTTAGTTTTGGTTAGGTATTTTTAAAAAGAAGTTGAATTTGTAGAAGTTATTTGAAAATCCATAAAATGTAAAATCTAAAATCCATTAAATCTTTGTGAAATCTGTGAAATCATATGAGTGTGTAAAATCTGGTGTATTTTGTTGAAGTTTGAGAACTTTTTATTAATTATTAGCAACTTTAAAAAATTAAAACAAAAATATTAAATGAATATTTTTAAGTTATTTGTAGATCGGCGTTAACATTTGATTGCAATGTAACTAATTTTGACAAACGCAAAAACGAATTTTATTGGTGGGATCTTTAATTTGAATTTTTTGATGTGTTCACTTAATCCAATATTATTTCCGACTTTCATTGTAATTTTTTCATCAATTTATATTAATAAACATCAAAATATTTAAACATGCTTTTTTCTATAAAGAAAATTGTATAATGTATATTCTATTTAAAAGAAGTACGTTTACACTTACTTCTAGTATAACTTACAAGTGTCGATATCAATTTCATGTTAGTTATAGTTGCTATCAGATCTCCGTTCCCTTTGAGACACCCATACACAACATACTCATAAAAGTTTTCTTTTATTTAACTCTTAAAGGAATTTTTTTTTTCAAATCAAATACTTTATTGTTAGCTTTTAGCCAGAACCAGAACAGAACCCTTTTGGTCACTTGTGTTCTAGCATCCTATGGACATACCATTGTGGTGCTCCGTTTTCTAGTTTCCTTGCTATTGAATTCTACTCCCATTCTTTACTATATTTCTACAGTTCTTGTAGCAATCTTCTCGTATAACCCAATCCGAGGGATCTTACTTTGTTTCTTATTGCTGTTATCATTGGCCACACTTCTGCTTCATATAAGATGATATTCTGCACGATGCTTTGAAATATTACTAACAATAATAATAAATATTGAATTGAATTGAATTTGGTAGCAAAGGGCTAAGAAAGTTATCTGGCACAGCCAGATAATGATATAGCTCAAAATCTAGCATTAAATTTTCTAAGGAGTTATCTTACTACTTACTAGCTTACTTAGGTAGAAACGAAAACGGCATCACACACATTTTCAAACTAATTTTGAAACTTATTTTTCAGGACCAAGCAAACTATATCCCGATCGTTTAGATGCTGTGACACAGTTACGAGACCTCGTCTACAGAGATTCAGTTTATGGACATCCATCCGAAGTTTAATTTTGTTTTACAGATAAAGCGGTTTTGCACATTTAATGATTTTGCTATGGTAGCAAAGTTTTAATCGATTCAACCAGCCTGACCTAACCAAATGTGGTGAGAAATATGGGTTCTCTATCCAACTTTATTTAGCAATCCAAGAGAGGAGTGTTGAACTTTTCCAATACCATCCTTCCCCATTGTATCTGACAAGGCTTGAACACGCAATTAAAATGATTAAACTGTGATAGCACCCGAGAATCGCAAGGAAGCCTTTTAGACTTTCATAAATCTATTTTCCTTTCCTTTAGTCAGAGCGCTGTTTAACAGCAGTCCACGATGAGTTTTTTGGTTAGTTTTCCTAGTACTGATTTTGTCTTTATATAAGTATTCAGTTTTATTCATAATTATTTTAAGACCTCACGATTCCTGCTCTTCTTTCAGCTTTCTTGCCATATATTCAATGTCTAATTCCTGTGCAAAAATAACGCGATCATCATATGTTGTTAAATAGTTTAATATGAACAACAATCGATTATATTTCCAAACAAATGTATTGAAAGTTTTATCATT